TATATATGTGTGTGTGTATATATGTATATATATATATTTTAAACGTTTGGTTCGTTTATAATATTTAATTTATATTTGCAACATAGTATTTATTTTCTAATGGTCACATTTAATGTGCTTTATAGTGGTGTACAAAACCCCTTATTAAAGGTTATTACAAACTGCCCACCTGTTTTTTTTTTTGTTTTTTTTTTTACCCAATGGGTAAAATCATCCCTTTAGATAATAATTTATTAATCGACCGAGGCAAATCTCATGAGCCTGACAAAATAGTAAAAGTTGCACTTGTGCAGGTCATATTTATAAACTTCAACATTTCTGTTTAACAAGAAAATACTACAGGGTTTGAATGACATTTGGTGAAATAAATTATTGCAAAATGTTCATTTCTGGCTGAATTATTGAAAGAGCAAAAATAGCGAGTGATAAAGCAAATAAATTTCACATGCTTTTCCTTTTCTTTCTTTTTTACTTCTTTCCTCTTGGCCGGCTGGCCAGCAGTTTTGATTATTCCACCGCTTGGAGTGTATTAATATTTAAAGGCTGTTTGCAGATGTCATTGCCTCTTGCAGTGCAGATGAGGGGGACAGCGGGAGGGGATGGAGGCCGGGCTTTTGGATGTTTCTTCCAGCCATTTATTTTCGCCGTCTCATCCTGTATCGACGGGCCGGGCCTCAAAGGAGCTGACGCTAAATATGCAGCTCATTAGAATGAGATTCAAAGATGTGAAAGATGTCTTTTTTTGCCTGTAAACGGCCATCACAGCAGCTCGGGGAACGAGGGTTTTTTTGTCTCTCTTGAAGGGGATTTTTCCTGTGTCCAGCTTTTGTGCTCTTACTCTATTCTTTGCGAATCCCTCAGGAGTTTTAGCAGTAAATGACTTCAGGAAAAAGAAAAGCCTTCAGCCCACCCGAGCAGCCAAGAAAAAGGGAAATTCATTGGTTTAGTAAATGTTTATATGGCTTTTAATTTATGCATGTAGTTTATAGAAACTGTGCATTAGTGAAATACAGTGATGTTGATTGACGATGTTATGGGTTATATCTTAAAAACAAGCCCTCAAACCAGCATTACTTTGCATTTCATACAAATCATGCATGTAGTAGGGATTTACGATGAATGAAATTAAAGCCAAAACTGATATGCAGGGCTCCAGACTGCGACCAAATAGTCGCATTTTGCGACCATTTTTTCTGCCGGTGCGAGTAATTTTTGTGAGAGGTTGCACTGGCGCGACCACCGTGTTGTCCAACTCATAAGCGCTGCCATTTCTGTTACATTTGAGAAACGGCAAACGAAAGTGAAACTAAACCGCGCTACGTTTCAGCTGCGCAGCGCAGACCGTTTATCAGCTCGGACCGCGACGCAAACAAACTTGTCCGGGCTCAGAATAGCTTTACTCAGAAGCCAAAGTTGATTTCGCAACAGTGCTGTGAGATCCAGCGAGAAGTGTTTGAATTCGCTGCACATAAGGTTACTGCGAGATCTAGTGAGAATCATTCAAATTCTGCACAGAATTCTCTGTTATAAACAGCGCTGACATACGTCAGGCAACCAGAAGCGGTAACGCTAACTGCAACCATGGTGTTGTGGTAGAAATAGTCGAATGCATTACATCATTCATTTCAGGGTTTGTACAACCTTTTGAGAGAGAAATTCAAACACTTTTCAATGACTTTCAAGCATTTCACACAACTATTTCCAGCTCTTTAAAGCTCTAAAATGATCCAGTTTGAATGTTATTTTTAATGGGATGACCAAAATATACTTTGTGGTAAATAAACACTTAAATCACAATTATAACCAGTAGATGGCAGCAGAGGAGCACTTATTGGCTCATTAGTCATTAATTTCTACTTTTTCTCTGTATTTTGAAATCATAAAATCACTAGGCTATTATAAAATATCAAATCATCAAGAAATCAGATTTTGTCAGAATTGTACACTTTTTTGTGTATGAAGTGACTTGAAAAACAAACTTTTCTTCAATTTGCTACTAAAT